GTTGGTAATTTTATAAATTGAATATGAACATATGATGGTTGACGGCAAAAGAATGGAATTTTAATTGAACGGGCTTCTGGTAATGGGCTGCTAATACTCTTTTTGTTTCTAATAGTCACAATAACATTTTGTGGATCATTTGATTGTTTTTGACAAGTGACTTTGAATGAATTATTATCACCTGGAGTGATTGAGAGTGAGTTTTGTTCATTATTATCTGATGAAATAAATTTGGAATAAATCTTTGGTTGTAAAAGCCATGTCTCTTTACCACCACAGAAAGAAACCTCGGCCGATGAACCTAAACTTAATAAAAATTCTATTTGATCAGCTGGTGGAGAAGCAAAAATACGAATTTCTTCTCTAATTCCATTGTATTGAACTGAAATAACAGTTGAGCCTTCTTTTAGAGCCAAAAATTCACGAGATGAACATATGTCACTTGATATCTTTTGTTGGTCGACCTTTTCATGTGGTAAAATTTTGAAAATGGAATCATCTTTAACTTTCCATTCTAAATTATTAATTGAGCAAGATTCGAAATAAACTCCTTTTGGTAAATGCTTTGATAATAATTTAGTTGAGAGTACTAATTTTTTACCAACTTCGACCTCTACTTGAGATGATGAAAAAACAATTTGGTCTGGTTCTTGAACAATGACAACAGATCTAGCAAAATTATTATTCCCAATAACACCTTTAGAATTGACATCAACAATGGATGTATTTCCAACTTTTGGATTACTTGATGACCAAATATAAGTTGAATTTGGAATATCTATAAAAAAAATTAAGGTTAATATTTATTATCCAATATTTACTTTTTAAAAAAGTTCTATTTTTAGTTAATAATTTATAGTACCTGGAATGCAAAGTGAAGAACTTGGATTTAATTGGGGTGTTACTGGGGTAAATCTTGATAAAAAAAATAAAAATAAAACTAAAAATGATAGAAATAAAATTTTATTTACTATCATATTTAGGTTGATTTTATATACATAAAGACCAATAGCAAAGGCGGCAATAAAGATGGAACCTGCAAATATAATTGGATAATTGGTACTACCTTTTACATATTTAGCAATAGAATTCATAGCAATAAATGGTAAATCACTAGTATTATGAATATTTAAACGACTGATTTCACCTGATTTTTGTTTTTTCAATGATAAAATAGAATCTTGATGTATTGGATTCGATGATTGAATAATTTGTTTACCTTCTTCTTCATTTGGTAATTTTATAAATTGAATATGAACATATGATGGTTGACGGCAAAAGAATGGAATTTTAATTGAATGGGCTTCTGGTAATGGGCTGCTAATACTCTTTTTGTTTCTAATAGTCACAATAACATTTTGTGGATCATTTGATTGTTTTTGACAAGTGACTTTGAATGAATTATTATCACCTGGAGTGATTGAGAGTGAGTTTTGTTCTTTATTATCTGATGAGATAGTTTTGGAATAAATCTTTGGTTCTAAATGCCATGTCTCTTTACCACCACAGAAAGAAACCTCGGCAGATGAATCTAAACTTAATAAAACTTCCATTTGATCAGCTGGTGGAGAAGCAAAATACGAATTTCTTCTCTCATTCCATTGTATTGAACTGAAATAACAGTTGAGCCTTCTTTTAGAGCCAAAAATTCACGAGATGAACATATGTCACTTGATATCTTTTGTTGGTCAACCTTTTCATGTGGTAAAATTTTGAAAATGGAATCATCTTTAACTTTCCACTCTAAATTATTAATTGAACAAGATTCGAAATGAACTCCATTTGGTAAATGATTTGATAATAATTTAGTTGAGAGTACTAATTTTTTAC